CAATGTTATTGGTTCTGACCTGGCATCTCTGCTTCAGTCACTTTCCCACCACTGTAACATAGCATCTCTCTGCCTTTTATATAAAAACTTTCAGGCTAATTGTTCTGATGAACTTTCCACTATAGTATCAAGGCTTTATGAATTTAAGCGTTGTACTGGATTGGCAGCAAGGTCTCATCATTTTACTATTGAAATGTCTAGATGCAACCATAAGCTCTATGCTAATAGTTTCACACTTCTCACTTGTGGAACTCTCTTCCAGCTTCTTGCTTCCCAGTTAACTTTGATCTTCAAAAATTTAAATGCAATGTCAACCTTTATCTTCTGTCTTAATTTTTGTTCTTTTATTGTCTTCCCTCCTTAAGAGTATATTTTCTCATACTCACTAACACAGTGTGAGGAACGAGAAGACTTACCTCCCACAAAGCGAATTTGCTTGACGTGTCAGGTCCTGTTGAAAGATCATGACTGGCATTAAAAGGGAAAATGGATTATTCCAAAATTCCCATATCGCAGGCGGACGTGCAGGGGAGAAAATAAAAAAGACTAAGAATTCAAACCAGCTTGAATTTATAAAACCAAAAATCTTGGGCGAATGAGAAGTAAGTCCTGTATGCAACTTTTAGTTGCCCCCGACACAGGCATAAATAGCGAGTCTGGGAGGAAGACAGGAGAGCGCATTGTTGGCATGACGGTGTACATGTGTACTAATGAGACTTAGAGAATAAGAAGTCACTAGCGATAGCTCAGTTGGTAGACAGGAGGACTGGATGAAAGCAAGCACTTTAATCCATTTCAGTCATCGCAAATGACGGGTAAACTGATTTACCCACACTCAGTGACCCCTTGCATCTTTGTGGCTTTATTGCCTTCCTTGAGGTGAAATAATTTTTTTTAAATTTTTTTACCAGTTTGTAAACTAAATAAATTAAAACAGTTTCTTAGCTTTCGGCACAAGTTCACCCATCCATGACACACCTGATCAACAACTAGGCTTATGCTCAACCTGTAATTGATTTTGGTTATTTCAATTTAAAATACAAACATATGATTATACATTTCCAATGAAAGGCGATCAATAACAATATATATATATATATATATATATATATATATATATATATATATATATATATATATATATATATCTCATGAATTATTTTTTCAAAAATTATAACATAAATATGTTGAAGATTCAACACCATCACTTGATAAGACACCAGAAGAGTTGAAACAAAATAACTATTTTTGTAGTGATTTTATAACATATTTGTTATAATTTTCAAATAAATAATTATATTTGCTCTACTCTGTATTGAACACTCTTTTAAGAATAGTATATGTTGGTTATTGGAATTTATTCCGTATACACCAATCTTATACTGTATGTATGTATGTATGTATGTATGTATATATATATATATATATATATATATATATATATTTCATACCGCCACTTTAGTTTCAAGCTCCTGTGATTATCGGGTGGCCAGATAATTCTGGTCAGCTGACAATTAGGGAAACTTGAAAGTTAAGTAATGGTAAGAATTTTGTCTCTTTTGAGGTATGACACTGAAGCATTTTTGCTCTGTATTAATAACATAGTCATAGAGCACTCTTGGTTAATGTTTAGGTAGGTAGCCACCTTTTGGTCTTTTTTTGTTTTTCTCTTTGTTTATTTTCCCATTCTTGTATAAGTTTTCTTGATTTTTAATGTAGGATTTTTTTTTTTACTTTTCTTTTTGTCAACTGGCAGGCATTGTTGTACTAATACTTTGGATATATGTTGGTAACACACATGCGCACACACACACACACCAATGTATTGATAAGACCAGCACAGAGCCTGCTAAGTAACCAAAGATAATCAAAAAGGGAAAGGAAACAAATGGTGTGAGGGTCAATCAAAGACAGCCCCTTATCTAAAGAGTAAAAGAGAGTTCTTTAAATCTAAATGAACAAGATAGAACAAATACACTACCCAGCAACACTGCATAGAAAGAGTTTAAACTGCTACTCAAGTTAATTGCAATTGTCAACTCACTCTCATACATACATACACACACACACACACACACAGTGTGTGTATGTATATATATATATATATATATATATATATATATATATATATATATATATATATATATATATATATATATATATATATATATATATAAAATCTCCAAATCTAAGTGTAGGAGAATGAACAGTAGGATTACGTTCATACTTAACAATAATTTTATTTCATTCTCATTTTTATCTTTTAATTCTGTTTGAGTTAAGATTCATTTAAAAGATTTTTTTTTCTAATTTAACTTGACTCTTTTTGTTACCCTTTGAAAATATTTTATCCTAACATAGGGTTATATTTAGATACATGTTGGCTGGTATATGTATGTATGTGCATGTATGTAGTTATCTATGTGTATGTACGTATAGATGGCTGTACGAGCAGAGATGTTCTTAACGTATACGGACGCATATGTGTATGCACTTATATACAAATTTTCTCCAAATCTTTGAAAACTCTTCCCTTAATTTTTAGGTTCTGATATATGGATAAATTTAAGACATCAATAATTCTGAATTATCTCCCTTTCATCTCACTAAGGTTATCTCTTGATATTTTATATAAATTAGTTTTTTTTATTTCATTAATTTCTGTGGATTCCTGCTGAATCAAACTTTAGCCATGTGACCATTAAGGTGTAGGTCAGCTCATCGGGTTCCTCTTCTCTCACCCTGTCCACTCCTACTTCCATAATATAATACCCCCCCACATTACTTTTGGTAACTGTGCCTTCTTCTGTCATCTCTTCCCCTCTGTCCTCTTTGATGTTCTCTGTCTCTTTCTTTCCCCAACTAACCAGTCACCTTCTACAAACTGACACCATAAACAGTTTGAAAAATCCTGCAAATGTTAAATTTTAAAATTTGTAGATGAAAATAGTCATTAACTAATAGTATCTTAATTTTAATTGTACAAAAATATATATTGGAGTTGAATAAGACTGACAAAGTTTTCGTCAGTTGAAATGGGTCTATTCCCCAAATGAGGTAATTTTGGATTTTAGTGTATACTACTATTTGCTCTGTATAATAAATACATTGAGCTCTCTTTGTGGAACAGTTTTAATATTATATATTACTAGGATACACTTGGATTACATACCAATGAATTTATTACCTTTATTTATATATATATATATATATATATATATGTGTGTATATATATATATATATATAATAGATGGTTTAACTTTTTTTTATATATATTTTTTTCAATTTTTGAATGTGTTGAGTATTGTGCTTGAAGTTGTCGATAAACTATCCAAAGTTAATATTTTTTTTTGTTCAAGTACTTTCAACTTTTGCGGTTGCTATCAAGAAACAATTATCAAAAGTACTTGAACAAGAATATATATACACTTTGTGTGTGTATATAATTTTACCGACAAGAGTTTTATACACTATTTATTCGGACTATTGTCCTCATCTTTGTCGCCATATTTATTACAACATTTCAGCTGTTGTATGCTCCAGCCTTCTTCAGATGATTGGAATGTCGAACTTAACTTTTTATTTTGCTCACTGGGGTAGGCTGTTCTAGTTCTATGTACCATGTCTAAATATGGTGACAAAGATGAGGACAATAGTTTGAATAATGTAAATAGTGTACATAATACCTCATCTCAGAAATATAGACAGATACTGAAGAATTTTATAAGTACAAAATCTGCATTAGTCAGAGAGCACCTGATCCATGTTGAATTGTTTAATGCTTAACTTTGTTATGGAGATTAGGTTTGATTAATTTCAATTCTTTTGATGTTTTCCTTTTATTTCCTTATTCAATGTTCATATATTCCACGTTGTTCCAATTCTAATCCGTCCTGGGTAAGATAATCTACGTCCACGTCTTGGGTAAGACGATAAACTACTTCCAACACCAAGGCCTTTCAGGACGTTTTGAGGACCATGGAACTACCCCTTAATTGCTGGTGTTCCAGGTTCACCTAGGGTGGTAGCACCTGTTAGGGTCCCATCTATGGGCAAATCGTTAACCCCCAAACTAGGGTCAAAATACCATGAAACTGTAAAAATAGGTTTTAATACCAGCAATGAATTTTTGTAAAAAAAATTATTACCAGCAATGAATTTTTGAAGGAAAAAATATTACCAGCAATACATTATTACCAGCAATAATAACCTTGTCGGCATTAAATAATCGATCAAGGTTGATATGCTGTAAAACAAACCAAATGATTTCTAATTTTATAAGACTAGGTAATAAACTGAAATAACTAAAATACATGAAAGATGACTTGTTGATCATAACCTTTTCATAACATTCATCTTCCAGGATTTCTTTGAGGGAATTTGTGCCATACCCTTTCTGTCTCTCCATAATTTCCTTTCCTTTGTAGCTGTTATTATATTTCGTCCTTCTGCTATCTTTCCTAATCCCTGTTATGTCAACAATTTACACAAGCTCATTACGTGGTTATGCATTGTTTAACTCTGTTCCTCTTGCCTTCTGCATGTTCTGTGAATATCAAATTCTCTAAGCTCTCTTTCCTCATTACGTACCCGATTAATTTCAACTCTTTCTGATCTTAAATATAAGTGTCCTTTTTGTTTCCATTTTCTTCAAAACTTTGTTCTTGCTCACATGCTGTTCTCAGCATCCTTCTGTAGAACCACATTTCTGTTGCTTCAAGTCTCCATCTGTGAGGAGATTGTTCATCATTCACTGCCATATAGGAGGACTGACATTGCATAACAGTTCAGTACTCTTTTCTTTGTTTCCAATGAAATTTTCCTGTTTCTTCATAATTTGCTTAGCTTTTGGAAGGCATCTTTCTTCTCTAGTCATAAACTTCTAAACAACCTCAAGATATTACTAACACTTTCTCAACTGTATTGTTAGAGTAAGCTAGATTTCTAACAGACAGGAGTTTACGCTCTCTCTTATGACAACCACTACTTATTTTTCAAAGATTTCAGACAGGATTAATGGCGACACTGGCAACCCCACCGATGATCTTCAGGATGTAAAATTCCGAAAACTCAATGTTGGAGGCTTAAGAAAGAATGTAACTGACAAGATGCACTTCAAACATTTCTCAAAGTCGGGCAAGGTTGTTGAGTGTATTGTGACACAAAAAAACAAATCCACTCAATTATCTTGTGTCACATACGAAACTTCAAAAATGGTTGACAATGCGCAGAAAAGACGTCCTCACTATGTTGCTGGCAAAAGACTGACCACTAGGCGAGCTGAAAAGACCAAGAACTACAGACCATTTCTTAAAAAAGTACTTGTTGATGGAGTTGAACCAGCAACTATAGAAGATGGAATTGTGAGGGAGGTTTTGAGCCATTTTGAAATTCTAAAAAAACTACAAATGACTTTGGACAAAACAAGTAAAGCCAATGATAACAGTCTGGTACTATTTCAAGATTATGATTCTGTTGACCGATGTATTTTAAGGCAGCAAATTTGCTGTAATCTTGGTTATGTGAACATCAAAATGGCAACAGAAGATAAAGAGGATGAGGAAATTTACAACTGCATTAAGTGGATGCTTGCTTTTCTAAGTGGAAGCTTGGTTGTATATTTGTATATGTATATATATATGTATATATGTTTGTTTTTTTTTTAATGAATGAATGCTTACTTGCTTATATATATATATATATATATATATATATATATATATATATATGTGTGTGTGTATATGTTTGTTTTTTTTTTACCAGATGGTTTATATATATATATATATGTGTGTGTGTGTATATATTTGTTTTTTTTTACCAGATGGTTTTATATATATATATGTGTGTGTGTGTATATGTTTGTTTGTTTTTTACCAGATGGTTTATATATATATATATATATATATATATATATATATATATATAATGTGTGTCTGTGTATTTAGGCAGCAATCCTTCTTTCATGCACATTTCATTGAATACGACAAAATGCTTTTAGTCTTTTATACAATTTCTCATGCAATCTCATAATTTTTTTCTTTTTGGATGATAAATTATATAAAAACTGTCTGAATGTTTTTATCCAAGCGCTTGTGGCTATACATTTAGCCATTTTCAAGGATTAAATATTTTAACTGTTAAATAAGAAATAGTTTGTTGTATGTATGTTTTATAAAACGTTTTCTTTTTTCAAAATATTGTGCCCATGTTCCAACAAGTGTGTTATGGTTAGAGGTTTTAAATTTTTTGTAATAAATAATCTAATTTTTTTGTTGTCGTCGACTGGTGTTATGCGTTTTTTATAATCTTAATTCTGCTTTCATCTTGTTTACAATTTTTGTTCATTTTTAGTAATAATACTTTTAAAACTTCTGTTTATAAAAAAGCCAATTAGTAAAAACCCTTGCCATCTTAATTTCTCTAGTGATGGCGAGAATAGAAACATAAACAATAACATTAATATTTTTTATAAAAATCAAATGAACGAAAATTATAAAGATGAATGCAGAATTAAGAACATTATAAAAAAAATGCATAACGCCAGTTGACAATAGCAAAAAAAATTACAAAAAATTTAAAAACTCTAACCGTAACATATTTGTTGGAACATGGACACAATATCTTGACCGTGTTTTGAAAAATGAAAACATTCTATAAAACATACATACAATAAACTATTTTTTTATTTAACAGTTAAAATATTTAATCCTTGAAAATGGCTAAATGTATAGCTGAAAGTGCTCAGATAAAAATAACATTCAGACAGTTTTTATATAATTTATCATTTGAAAAGAAAAAAATTATTAGGTTGCATGAGAAATTGTATAAAAAAAGTAAATAAAAGAACCTTGTCTATTGTATTCAATGAAATGTGCATATATAACATGGTAATCTGTATGGAATTTCCAAGAGGATATATATCCGGGGAGAGCTCTGTCAAAAGACAGAAAAATTATTATTAATTAAAGAATACTGAACACTTAAACTCCCATAGGTATTAGGTATTAATTTTTTATATGATTTTAGGTGTTTGACATTTGTCAATTAATAATTACACACACACACACACACACACAAAATTGAATGGATGTAATATATTAGGGATATGACTTTTTTGTTACCCTATGTTCCTGTGTCATAAATCAATGCACTTTTGTTCAAATCTAATGATGTAATGAAAAACACACTAATTTGTTTTAGTTCTTGAAAAAGTCACCCCCAACCCCAAAATTTTATTTTACTATATACACAATAAGGCTACAAAAAATCAAAATGTTTCAGATTTCAATATGCTAATGATGTAATTGGAAAGTTCTTATGTATTTTTTAATGTATTTAACAGTTTATAACTATAGCATAACATACAAACTTAGAAATAAACAAAGACAAGTTCAAGAAGGTTCTATATGCTATACTTAGATGATTTTAGAAATTGTGTTGAGGGTGACATTTTTAAAGAGATAAACTGAATTAAGCCCTTCATTATTAATTTTTTTTTTTTTTAACAAAAGTTCATCAAATTATTACAAAGGAAATCTGTTATTTTACAAAAATCCATAACCATATATAAATGTATGACAACGTTGAAAAAGTTTACTTGTGACGTGCTCTTCAGGGCTTCATCAGACTAAATGTGTTATGTTAGTAGGGCTGTACATTCACATAGATGAGGGATGATGGGAATTTTGGAAATTTTTTTTTATATCCAACCGCTTCATTTAGGTTATTTTTCTTCATCAATTTTGTTAGTAGATATTCAAAACTGTGATAAGAGAAGATCTGCCAGGAATGGTGAAATGTTGTAAGAGCCCGGGTACAAATTTACTGTAGATGATATTGCAATCAAGACAATTCCTAGATATTTATGTTGCAGTGAATTATTTTCTCCTTTGATCAGAGTAGCATTTTTTTTATGTCAAATTTGTGGTCAGTCTCATTACAGATGGCAACCAATGCATTTGACTTATTGTTTTGTAAAATGTCCCTTTTGTGTTCATATAATCTTTAATTTAGATTCCTTGAGGTTTCTCCTATGTATTTTTTGTAACAATTATTACAGGCAATTGAGTAAACAAAGAATATTTGTAGATTCTGGTGGCAATTTTAAACTTTCCAATATAGAACAGGAAGCTCGCTTGGTTTAAAATTATTTTATATTCAATGTGAAATAAAAGGCCCGTAAAATAATCCAAAACAAAAAAATGGTCCCCTCCAGACAAATCCAATGAATCAAAAAATATATTATCCTACCAACTCTATCATATCTACAATTGAGAAGAATCTATCTGAACTCAACATAAAATGTATTACCACTACATCCAAAACAATAAAAGAATTAATACTAAACAAAACACTAAACTAAAACCTGAAGGAGGAATGTACTCCATTGCCTGTAATAATTGTCACAAAAAATACATAGAAATATCAAGGAATCTCAAAAGATTATATGAACACAAAAGGGACGTTTTACAAAACAATATGGTTGTCTCACCCTAATGAGACTGACCACAATTTTGACATAAACGTTACTCTGATCAAAGAAGAAAATAATTCACTACAACATTAATCCCAAGTACATCTACAGTAAATTTGCACCCTGGCTCTTACAACATTTCACTATTCCTGGCAGGTCTTCTAATATCACAGTGTGGGATACCTATTAAAAAAAGTGGTGGAAAAGTAAAAGGCTCTAAATGAATTTGGCTAGATATAAAAAAGAAAAAAAATATTCTAAAATCCCCAGCACCTCTCATATGTGTGCAGGTGTAGTTGTACCACCATAACAAATTTAGTTTGATGAAATCCTAAAGTGAACTATTCCACTTTGTCATAAATTTCCCCAATATTTTATATATATATATATGAGAGTGATGAACATGTCTTTTTAGGAGATAGATGCATACATATGAGGGAAATGGGTACCCTACAGACTTCATGAAAAATAAAATTATTTTTATTAAAAAAAACTACTCCATTGTTTGTTGATTTTTACAGTATTTATGCAAATGCTGGAGGTGGAGACATAAATAATAATTTAAATTTTAAATTAAATTTTGCTGACCTGTTTCAGTTTCTATGTCCAAGAATCAAAGGTAGATATTTTTTCTTTTCTATCCCCCCCTATTGCTAAAACACTTCCCACAGCAGATTTAAATAGCATCCACATTTCATTGGAAAATTGTTAAATTCTTCATTTTTCTCTCTCCATCAGGGCTTATCTTTGTTAGGGGTCAGTCCCTTCTGACTGTTTTATTTCTTTGTTTTCTTGTTGAACAAAGTTAAATAAAAAAAAAACAAGATTCCCCCTTTGCCATTTACAGTTGTACAGTCAGTTATGTGCCATACATGATACACACTTAGGCAATCATGTCTCTTTTGATACATGACTGACGAGGCAGATTTTTTTTTCCCCACAGTAGGTTGCCATTTCTTTCTGTGGTAGACCAGTTACCATCCAAGGCTATAGAACCTGGTCTGTCCTGCTATTTACTCATAGCTGGGAGGAGAAGAGGAGGATTAATACCTTTTCCCAAGGGTATTAGCACGTAAGTGAATGTAATGGATTCAACTGGAATTTGAACTCGGCTCTCCAATTCCTCAATGCAGACATGTCCAAATTTCTTTTTTCTTAGTTTCAAAAACATGTCATTTCTAAATATCAACAATGACACACTTCCCTTTTTATATATATATATATATATATATATATTTTTTTTTTTAAGATAAAAGAATAATTCCCTCAAGGATTTTGTAGGATACAGTTAATGACAACTCTGTGGTCATCTTTGAAATCATCTTTTGTTGTCTTTTCCTTATATACAGAATTGATATAGATATATATATATATATATATATATATATATATATGTTCTATCACATCCATTATCCAGAACAACCTATCCCAGCTAAATAATCTTAAAATAGTCACAAATACTTCAAGAACCATTATGGATATACTCAGATCCTCAAACACTAAAAGCAATAATATTTCTGAAGCAGGCATTTATAAAATAAATTGCCAAATCTGTTTCTCCCAATATATTGGATAAACAAA